GCGTGTGAAGGCGGCGCTGGCTGACTACAAGTGAGAGGAAACTTGTGCATGGGTTCATTTTCCCATCCAACATCAACCTGTTCATCCACCACCGCAGATTGCCACGACATCCAACCCGCCTTTTCTTTTCTTTACGTCGACAACTACAACTACTACAACACACAAAGACCTACCCACCTCCACCCCGAACCAACCACAGCAATGGCTCCCATGATGATGAGGAATCTCATGTCACAGACGATGCGTGTTGCCACGGCGGCAAGTCGCCTGAACAGCACCAAGCAGACGGCGTCCAGGATACGCACGCTGGCCACTTCAAACTCTGAGTTTTTGAGTGCCGGTCCCCGCAAGGCGGAGCGCGAGTACGAGCGCGCCGTGCAGCAGGCCCGCGACGTCTTCCAGCACACACGGACCCAGCTGTCCAAGAAGAGCACCACTGCCCAGAAAGACGTCCAGGAGTCTCTGCACCAGGCCCTTCGCCAGCTCAACCACGACGTTGCCCAGGCCAAGCAGAGGTATCTCTTTGCCACCCTGGACAAGGCCCAGGAGCTCTAATTGGAACGCCCAAGACAGGGCCATCCCCCCGCAACCAGAAATCTAATAGACAACCCGCCAACTTCAACAACATCAATACCAACAACAACAAGAACAATGACGACGACACCTTCCCCCAAGTTAACACGTTCCGTTCTTTGCCCCGCTCTCCCAACTAAGACGACAACAGCAACGACCAACAACCTGCGACGATCCCTTGTTTAGCTCTTCCCGTTTCCCCTCGTTCGTGCTTTCTCCCTTTCTCTCTTTTCTCGTTAACAACCAGCTGCTGCCGCTGCTGTTTCTTCTCTCTCGGAGAGTCCAGCAAGCCGCCCTTCGTTCGTTCTCTACCTTCGACACTGCCTTTTTTTTCTTCTTCTTCTTCTTTTGTTCCCGTTCCTTTGGCGTTTTGTGGTTGACAACCACTTCGCGCACACTCATCATCTCTCGATGATGCCTTTTTGCCTGCTATCACGCAGTAGTGCCCGCTTGCTGTGCATGGCTTGATCTATTGCTTAATGGTGGTGAGAAGTGTGTTTGTGTGCGTGTGCGTGCTGCAAGTGGTGATCTGAGCGACTCTGGTTTCTTTCCATCGCTTTCTTCATTGCTTTTTGCGACCGCGAAGCCATATGCCACTATCACTATACTTTCCATGTCACCACAGACAACCTTTTGCCGAGCGCTATTGTTACGCTCTCATGAAATAAACACCCCCACAACCAAACTGTCACTGTAACTGAGAGCGAGCCTGACAACGGCGATGATGCGAGTGCAAGCGGTGCGTATGGTGATGGTGCTTGTTGACATGAGCGCAAGAAGCGGCAGCAGCATCAGTGGAACACACGCACACACACACACACAAGCACTCGACCGCACAACCTGCGGTGAAGAGCAAGTTTGCCTTTGCAAGTCAGGTTTGCCTAATTTCAGGCAGGAATTTGGCGGAGGAGGAGGAGGTGGGCGAAAACACACCCCCACACCACCAAACCAAGGACCACCACCACCACCGCAAGGCCAACAGAGCGCAGCGCAACAGACGGACAAGACAAAGGGGAAGCAAAGGGAGGATTGTCTGCTTCCCCCTTCTTCTTCTTCTCTTCTTCTCCTCTTTCTTCTTCTCTTCTCTGCCGCTTCTCCTTCACCCACGCACATCCTCTTTTACCCATCAACTGTGCATGCTTGTGCAGCCATGATTCGGGTGCGTGTGCTTGACTTTGGTGGCAGGCCTGGTGGGGAATCGTCCACCGACGCAGAGCAGCAACAACAACAGCAACAGCAACAACAGCAACAACAGCAGCAGCAGCAACAGGACCAAGGCCGGCCAAGGCAGGTGCGAACACGTGTAGAAGTGGGAGGAAGGAATCAACAACTGCAACAGCAGCAGGACTTGAAAGGTGCCACCACCATCAACGCTAATGATGCTGCAGCAACAGGCAGTGCGACCGCAACTGCCCGCAAGTCGGCTTCCACTGGCCGCCGGCGCAGCCTCCCACCTCAACCCGCAACACCACCCACCACAAAACGACCACAACAGCAACACCAACAACAACAGCAGCAACAACACCAACAACAACAGCAGCAACAACAGCAGCAACAACAGCAGCAACAACAGCAGCAACAACATCATCACCACCAAACAGACACGCCACTCTGGCAGCTGCTCACGCGCGATCCTCCACAAGGGTGGCCGCTCTACACAGCACGGGAACGCCAGCAAGCCGTGGCCTCGGCGCTGCTCGATGTCTTCCAGCCAGCTCACGCTGCCATCGCCGATGCTGCTGGCTTCTCAACGCCCACGCCTGGTATGCCGTCGTTCATCCGCGCACAGGGTGTCCGCGGCCGTGTGGTCGCTGTCGAGGCCAAGGGAGGCGTGGACGCCCACGCCATCGTCGCATCCTGGCTCAGCGCAACCGCTTCCACACCTGCGCAGCAATCGCACCAACCAGCAGAACAGCAGCATCAGCGGCACTCGCCTCGTGTCGTGTACTACGACGCTGGCCGGTGTCATGTGTGCAGCCACTTGAAGACGCTGCTGCTGTGCCTCGCATATCAGCTGGACGCAAGCTCCAACATGCGTGAATTGTGCCACCTCAACACAGCGTCTCTCAGCTCCCATGTCACCCGCCTGATAGGCAGCAGCGGCAGTGGCAGTGGCAGTGACTCAAGAAGCAACGGCAGCCAGGGCTACAACGGCTACAGCGGGCACGAGAGAGAGCCCAGCGCCAGCGTGAATGCGAACAGCATGGGCAGCAGTGCCGATGCCAGCGCATCGTCACGCCCCCTCATCATCGCCATCTGCAATGTGGATCACGTGTGCGCCTCGGAACCATTGGCATCGTCGTTCACGTGGCTGCCGCCCGCGAGTGTACTTGACGAGGCCAACGCCACGCTCATTGTCACACTCGACTCTGCATCCAAGGGCTGCAGCAAGGCGTTTCGGCGTCGCTACCCAGCCGCGCACCGCTACAAGCACGCGGGTGCCAGCACGCAAGCAGCGGCAGGCGCGCTTGCTGACATGATGCAAGCGCTGGACGGCGCACACCGCCAGGCCGCTGATATTGCATGCAGCTTTGCTCCAACCAAGGTTGGCGCCCGGGGCGCAGGGGTGGAGTTGGAGGGGGCGTGGTGTGTGTTTGCATCTGTGTGTTTGCATCTGTGTGTGTATGCGTGTATGTCTGTTGGTGTGTGTGTGTGTGTATGCGTGTATGTCTGTTGGTGTTTGTGTGTGTATGCGTGTGTCTGTCTGTGTCTGTGTCTGTGTCTGTGTCTGTGTCTGTGTCTGTGTCTGTGTCTGTGTCTGTGTGTGTCTGTGAGAGCTGGTTATGGACGATAGCTAATGCTACATGTGGTGTTGTTGCTAACGCTCACTTCTTTGCCATACACACACTGACACTCACGCATACGCATACATACACACACGCACTCACACACTTACACGTACGCGCATGCCAACAGGAGCGGTACTTTGGGCGGCTGCTGTCTCGGACGGTGTATGCGGCAACACACACCGCCCACCTCTCCTTGCTCGCAGCAACCGTGTCCTATCTGCACTGGTGCGGTGCTGACGCAACCCGCGCATGCACCCGACTCAACGCAGCATCAACCTTGCATCAGCTGCAGCTCCTCTCCCTCCTGTGTGTCATCTCCCCAGTAGCAGTGATGCAAGCACACGCGAGTGGCAATGGTGGTATGCGTGGTGCTGTGAGCAGCATCAGCATAAGCGGTGGCGGTGACAGTGCAAGTCATCGCAGCAGCGGCAGCGGTGATGTTGATCCTCTCGTGCTCTTGAATGCGGCAGATGCTGGCGAGGTCGACGCAGACAGATGGTGCGCCGCGCACGGAGTGAAGAGGAGGGAGGGATGGAGGGAGATGGTAGCGGCGATGATGGCTGGCAATGGTTGTTGTTGTTGTCGTTAGGAGTGGTGGTGGTGGGGGTGGTGGGGGATGTCATGTATCCATTGCCGACGGCTAAATCACGCCTCACATATCCATTCACATCTTTACACTACACACACACACACACACACACACACACACACACACACACACACACACACACACACACACACACACACACACACACACACACACACACACCACCACCACCAGGGTGGCCAAACGCGTGCTGTGTCTTGTCGCGCTCTCGCGGACCGGACTGACGTGGGCGGATCTCGCTCGTCTCGTCGGATCCTCCATCCACCACCTCCACCAAGAGGTCCACACACACACACACACACACACACACACACACACACACACACACACACACACACACACACACACACACACACACACACACACACACATGCACATGTGTGCCTTTTTTGGGTTGTTTGTACGTGTGTGTTACACTTCGCACCACTATCACAGCTCACCACCATCACCATCACCACCACCATTATCACTGGTGTGCCGTGCTCAGGTGTATCCACACATTGCACGCTTCCTGCGCGGCGAGCCAATGCCACTGTCATCACCAGACCAGCACCAACAACAACAACAACAACAACAACAACAACAACAACAACCACCAACATCTTCCTCCGCCCACTCGTTTCTGGTGCAGCTGTGTGACCCGACGCTCTTGTCAGCAATCGATGCGCTCTGGCTCTCGGCTCCATCCGCCACGGCTTGGGGTGCACAACACGACGATGCAGCAACACAGACGCCGCCCCCATCCATCACGTTCCACTCGCCATCCACATCACTGGCACCGCATGCATCTCGTCGCATGTCCTTCCACCGCTTGCACGCTCGAAGAGACACATCATCATCATCATCATCTTCATCATCATCGTCGTCGTCGTCGTCGTCGGGTGGCGTGAGTGCTGCCTCGCTCGTGTCGAGTCAAGTGCTGCGCGTGTGTGAGATACGAACGCGGCCGTGCGACAGCGGCGGCACTGGTGGCAGCGACGATGAGATGATGACAGTGCGCATGTGTCTTCGTCGCGACCTCTGGAGGTGCG